GATGATCACAGGCTGGTGCTTCAGGCCACACCTTGGCTCTGTTTCATTTACAGGTATAAACAAAACCTTTGCTGCTGTCAGCATTAACCAGCCTTCAGTGATCCTGAAGGCAGGAAGAGATCTGCTGGGAGTGACTGCTCTGTAGTCACCTTGCAAAACAAACCAGCAGCAGAGGAGGGCACTGAGGGGAAAAGGTCCTCACGGTGTTTTGACTTAGCTGAACATGTGGAAGTCTTCAGTTTGAAGTCTTCACCAGTGTTATCTGTGAGATGTCATTAGAAATAATACATTTTTGGTGTTCATTGATAAGTTACCTCAGGAGAGTAAGAGGACCTTGTCTTTAAGAAGCAAAACCATTCCTCCAGCTCTGAAGAGAAGGACTTGAGAGTGGTGGTGAATGAGAAGTTCAACATGAGGCGGCACCGTGCGCTGGCAGCACAGAGGCCAATAACCGTGTCCTGGGCTGCACCCAGAGCAGCGTGGGCAGCAGGTGGAGGGAGGGGATTCTGCCCCTCTGCTCCTCCTCCCCCCCCTGCAGTGCTGCCTCCAGTTCTGGGGCCACCACCAGCAGAAGGACATGGAGCCAGTCCAGAGGAGGCCATGAGGATGATGCCAGGGCTGGAGCAGCTCTGCTGTGAGGACAGGCTGAGAGAGTTGGGGCTGTTCAGCCTGGAGAAGAGAAGGCTCCGGGGAGACCTTCTAGTGGCCTCCCAGTACCTGAAGGGGCTACAAGAAAGCTGGGGAAGGACTTTTCATAAGGGCAGTTAATGACAGAACAAGGGGAAATGGGTTTAAGCTGGAAGAGGGGAGGTTTAGATGAGATATTAGGAAGAAGTTCTTCACTGTGAGGGTGGTGAGACCCTGGAACAGGTTGCCCAAGGAAGTTGTGGCTGCTCCTTCCTGGAAGTGTTGAAGGCCAGGCTGGATGAGGCTTTGAGCAACCTGGTCTAGTGGAAGGTGTCCCTGCTGCTGGCAGGGGGGTTGGAACTGGATGAGCTTTAAGGTCCCTTCCAACCCAGACCATTCTATGATTCCTGCAAACTGCAGTAGCTGCTGGTGAGATACTGTCCACCCCTGTTAGAAGGTGTTCAAAGCCTCAATGCATTTTCTTGGTGTGCTGCCTTCCAGCAAATAACATCAACAAGCACTGTCATCTTCTGTGGAACAGCAGAGTCCCTTATAGGGTGGCAGCATGAGAAAGAGAGACCTTTAAGAGTGCTTCTGCTAGCCCTCCCTGGCGGCTGAACAGCCCTTGAATGGTGGGTTGAGGCTTGTGCTAGTGTGCTTTAGGATCTAGACCATGACATCCTGTAGTTGGCCACCAACAGAACATTTTCAGAGGTGCTGACTTACAGAAAAGTAATCCTTGGAAGTGGTTTCTCAGGAGCTTTATCTACATCTTTGTTCCTACTCCAGCTCATCTTCAGAGAGGTGCTGCATGAGGGGTGTTGGGATAGGGAGGTGCAAGCACTGTTGTGAAGCTCTGAGGTGTGGGGCTCCCTAGTTTATTACCCAAGAAGGGCAGGCACCAGGAGGAGTGTCTCAGAGAAGGGTAACAAACGGGACAGGTATGCAGGTGTTCTTTCCTGGTGCATCTTTGCAGCTGCCGATATCTTAGATTTCCTACAGCAGGCATTCAGGAGAACGTGTGAGTGTGTTTCATGGTCACTTGGTGGACCCACCTTCCATGACTTTAATGTATTTTAGAGCTGATTCATACTTCCACTTTGTCCTGTGGCGGTGAGTCTGCTCTCCAAAAAATACTTCTTTGTTTTCCTAAACGTATGGCACGGCCGTTCCTACACTCATTTGAGTTTTGGGGAAAAATAAGGCTGATTTTCCAAACTCATGGTTTTTAGATCATTCATGACTTTTTATACCTCTCATCCATCCTTGTCCTTCTCCCACAGTGGGGAGTTGTTTCCTATTTAAGTTGTCCTTATAGCAAAGCTCTTCTGTACCTCTGATTGTCCTTGGCCACCCTTCTCTGGAGCTCTGAGTGCTACATTATCCTTTTTGAGATGGATCAGTGAGAAATTTGCGTCGTTTTGAAGACGATGGTCTTCTTCATGATGGTTGGTGCCATCGTGTTTTCTACCTTATTCTTTTCTGAATAACTGCTGGCACATTCTTAACCATTTTGCTTCTCTTGGAGCATTGAGGCTTTGAGAGAGCTCCACATTGACTTTAAAGTCTTTGAGATTGGCAGATGATTTGTACCCAACTGTTCTCTGTCAGCAGCTGGAGTTGTGTTTTGATCATCTGTGAATACTAAATTTCCTTCTCTGTTTTTATCACCCGGTATCACACCATCACAGAATCACAGAAGGTTGGGGATTGGGAGGGACCTCGAAAGATCATCCAGTCCAACCCCCCTGCCAGAGCAGGAACCTCAATGAGATCACACAGGAAGGTGTCCAGGCGGGTCTTGAATGTCTCCAGAGAAGGAGACTCCACACCCTCCCTGGGCAGCCTGTCCCAGGGCTCCAACACCCTCACTGTAGAGAAGTTTCTTCTCAAGTTTAAGCGGAACCTCCTGTGTTCCAGCTCACACCCATTGCCCCTTGTCCTACCATTGGGCATCACTGAGAAGAGCCTGGCTCCATCCTCCTGACATTCACCCTTTACATATTGATAAACATTAATGAGGTCACCCCTCAGTCTCCTCTTCTCCAAGCTAAAGAGCCCCAGCTCCCTCAGCCTTTCCTCAGCAGGGAGATGCTCCACTCCCTTCATCATGCTTTGCAGCTTTTTCCAGCCAGCCATAGGCTCTCCTGGATAATTCTCTTATCACCTGCAGCTTTGTCACCTCATCGTCATCCCCTTCCCAGGCCGTTTGTGAATGACTTGACTGGTGTGTTCACGTGAAAAACGAACTCGTTCCTACTTCAGGCCTTACTGCCAGGTCAATAACCAACAACCCGGGGAGGGTTCACATTTTAGGGGGTGTTAATAAACACCAGCTCAGGCCTCCACCCAGAAACTAACTGGTTTGATGGTGACTGAGCTGGTCTTCCTAACTGACAAGAGATAATGAAATGGTTTAGCAACCAGTACGGACGGGAGGGGGAGAAACAGAAAGGAAAGAGAATGGGACAGTCAGAACAGTATGAAAATAAATGAAACTAGTACTTTTCCCAGGTACAACCATCATTCAAGTTCTTCTCTCTGCTTTAACATATAAATATTCACATATCTATAGAGAATACTCTGTATATTTTATATATTATATATTTATAGTTAATGATATAGATGGACATGTTACGGGAAATAAAAATATCAAAAGAATTTAGTAGAGTGATGGCAAAAGCCCGCGGCAGCCTCCCCCTTGCTGCAGAAACTCCCCGTTGGAGGCGCTGGGAGTCGAGTCCCCGGGCACAGTTGTCAATCCTGGAGGTGACATCCCTCCAGCTGCAGCTGACCCCGGAGCTGCCACTGTCACCAGCTGTTCCCCAGAGCTGCTCCTGGGAGTGCTGCAGTGACCTGTCCCTCTGCCATCTCGTTTTGTCAGCTGTGCCAGCTCCATTAGCTGCTCCTGTGCCCCTCACATCCACCTTCTGCTCCTCACAGCCACCTTCTGTTCCTCACAGCCACCTTCTGTTCCTCACAGCCACCTTCTGACTTCTTCCCCTCACAGCCACCTTCTGCTCCTCACATCCACCTTCTGCTCCTCACAGCCAACTTCTTCCCCTCACAGCCACCTTCTGCTCCTCACATCCACCTTCTGCTCCTCACAGCCAACTTCTTCCCCTCACAGCCACCTTCTGCTCCTCACATCCACCTTCTGCTCCTCACAGCCAACTTCTTCCCCTCACAGCCACCTTCTGCTCCTCACATCCACCTTCTGCTCCTCACAGCCAACTTCTTCCCCTCACAGCCACCTTCTGCTCCTCACATCCACCTTCTGCTCCTCACAGCCAACTTCTTCCCCTCACAGCCACCTTCTGCTCCTCACATCCACCTTCTGCTCCTCACAGCCAACTTCTTCCCCTCACAGCCACCTTCTGCTCCTCACTGCCACGTCGCGGGTGACAGCCTCCGGGTCACTGCTGCTCTTATGAATAATGGTCACTTGAAACCCCCTGCCTTGTTTCACCACTTGAATGCAAGAGCAGACGCAGCAGATAAAGCAGTGGGGAGGGTTGCTCGGGTGCTGACTCGAGGTGACGTTTGTTGGGGTTGTTCCTCACCTCTCCAGGGGCTTCACGAGGCTCTCGCTTCCTTTGCAGACACGTGCGCAACGGGGCGGTGATCGCACGCTGCAGCCAGCCTGAGATCAGCTGGTGGGGCTGGCGAAACGCTGACGACGAGTATCTGGTGACATCTATTGCCAAAGCCTGTGCCTTGAACCCTGGAGTGAAGGCAGCTGGTGGCGTCCAGCACAGTGGGGGCAGCGACGGCAGCGAGCCCTGCGACACGGATTTCGGTGAGACAGCTCAGTTCCCTCCGCTCCCTCCTAAAGGTGGGAGTCATCCCCTGCTTCCTGCACCTGAACCCTGGTGCTCACAGGGCTGTGGCAATACCAGGTTTATACCCAACATCCAGATGGACAATCTGGGCCCTGTCCCAACCTGACTGCAGTGGGTGGGACGGGTCTCTGGGCTCATTTGTGGCCAGGGTCGGGGTGGCACTGGGAGCCTGGCATGGTGGGGTGGGATGTGCTGGGAGCTCAGTCCCTGCTCTCTCTGCAGACTCATCCCTGACCGCGTGTTCGGGCGTGGAGAACGCAGGAACTCCTCAGAAGCTGCTGATTCTTGATGCCAGGTCCTACACCGCGGCTGTGGCCAACAGAGCAAAGGGAGGCGGCTGCGAATGTGAAGGTACAAAGGGCTGAGCACGTCCCAGAACATCTTCCTCTGGGACCCACTTTGTTGAGCGGCTCCTGGAGCACAGCTGGGGGTCGGGTCAGCAGTTTTGGTCTCTGGGAGCACGTTCCCCTTCTCGCTCGTGCAAAGTCCATTGTTCCAGATGTCTCACTGCTGGCACATGAGGCTTTTGGAGCCAAATGTCCCACCTGGAGACCAGAAATGGTGCTGTGAGGGGACAGCTAAACTGGTCATCTGGAGGCAGCTGCTGCAGGGGCGGCAGCTCTCTCTGAATGTTTCTCTCTCTGTTGTGTTCAGAGTATTATCCCAACTGTGAGGTTGTGTTCATGGGCATGGCCAACATCCATTCCATCCGGAACAGCTTCCAGTATCTGCGTGCGGTCTGCAGTCAGGTGCCAGACCCCAGCAAGTAAGTGACTGTTCTCTAGCTGAGTTTGACACCGTAACTGTTCATGTCCTGGGGGTTTCTCCCCTTCCTTTTCCTTTTCCCTATCCCAGGTTTCTACTACAGAAAATGGAGGGCTGACCAAGTGCTCACAGTGCTTGAACGCTGCTTATTCTGATCCCTGGGAATCCAGAAGGGATTGCAGCGCTGCCTCAGTGTCGCTTGGTTGTGTGTGTCCTCTGAGGGCTTCTAAAATCCAGCTGTATCTGGGAAAAAATGAAACTGAGGTTTGGATTCTTTGCACTTATTCCCAGGCTGGCTGGCTGCTCATGACCATGTTTTAGAAAAGAGTGATTTTTACTGAGGACTCCAAAAAAGACTTGGTTTAAAATAGATCTTTCTTATTTTCACTGGAGAGCTAAGCAACCATTTTCTTGTGTTTTGGACACCTTCTAGCTGGCTGTCAGCCCTGGAGAGTACCAAGTGGCTGCAGCACCTCTCTGTCATGCTGAAGGCAGCAGTGCTGGTCTCCAGTGCAGTCGACAGAGAAGGGAGACCAGTGTTGGTTCATTGCTCAGACGGCTGGGACAGGACTCCGCAGATCGTAGCGCTGGCAAAGATTCTTCTGGACCCTTATTACAGGACCATGGAGGTACGAGTCGTGCTGCGCTGCTGTTTCGTGTCTGTTAAAAGGCAGCTTTTGTTTCAGAGACTCCGGAGAAAGAAGCAGGTTTGCATTTGGCAGTCAGCTTAGTGGCATTTCAGAGCTGCTATGGGGGGTGGTGGGTTTTCCATGTTCTCTTCCTGCCTGTTTTGGGTGAGCTGTACCTCACTCCTCTGCCCAGCTTGGTGAGGTACGGTGGTAAAAAACCTCTTGTGCTCAAGGTTCAGCTGCTTCTCTGCTCTTAATTGTGCATGTTCTCCAGGCTGTTTGTTGTATAGAAATAACAGCTACAAATTTAGGCCACAAAATTGGGGAAGGGTTTAGAGGAGAAGACCTATGAGAGGCTGAAGTCACTTGGTTTGTTCAGCCTGGAGAAGAGGAGACTGAGAGGAGATCTTCTGGGGGTCTAGAACTTCCTCCCAAGGGGCAGAGGAGGGGCAGGCGCTGATCTCTTCTCTCTGGCCACCAACGAATGCCAGGAGCAGAGGGAATGGCAGGAAGATGTGGCAGGGGAGGGTGAGGTTGGCCATGAGGAAAAGGTTCTTGAGGCAGAGGGTGGTGGAGCACTGGAACAGGCTCCCCAGGGAGGTGCTCATGGCACCAAGGCTGACAAGATTCCAGCAGCATTTGGCCAAGGCCCTCAGGGACATGGTGTGAATGTTGGGATTGTCCTGTGCAGGGACAGGAGTTGGACTGATGATCCTTGTGGGTCCCTTCCAACCCACACCATTCTGTGATTGTACAAATAACAGCTGTTAGTTTGTGTTTGGAAACCTCTGACATTCAGGTAGCTTTGCTCAGCTGCAGCCTCCCCTCCAGCCCTCCCAAAGTCCGGAGTGTGCCTGGCACTGCTGGTGGATGGGGCTTCTTGCCTTGTCCTGCTGCAGCAAAGTGTCTGCAGTTGGGTTTTTCTTTTGTTCACAGGGCTTCCAGGTGCTTGTTGAATCAGACTGGCTGGATTTTGGTCACAAGTTTGGTGATCGCTGTGGTCATCAGGAGAAGGTGGAAGATCAGAACGAGCAGTGCCCAGTTTTTCTTCAGTGGCTGGATGCTGTTCATCAGCTTCTGAAGCAATTTCCTTGCCTCTTTGAATTTAATGAAGCTTTTTTGGTAAGAAATACGTGTGCAAACATCTTTAGTCCTTGTCAGACGTGAGGAGAGGCAGAGGGAAGGCCATGATATTTTAGTTGAAAGAAAACAAAACTCAAATTCTTTAAAAATGGGAAGGTGTCTGAGCAGTGCTTGGGCCCTCTGCTGGGATTCTTGACATACCTTCACCATCTGGGTCCAGCCCTTCCCTTCACTTGTGGTATTTTGACCTGATTCTGTACGTGTGATGCTCCTGTGTCCTGGTTTTTAGCTGGGACAGAGCTGTGTTCTGTTAGCTGCTTGCAGTTTCTTCTTCCTCCCCGCAGCGGGTGCTGCAGGCTCAGTGACCCAGCAGAGCACAGTGGTGAAGGGTTTGTTCTCTGGTTTCTTTGAATCACCACTTCTCCAGGCCCCTTTCTAGCCCAGGGAATCCAAATACCGTCAGCAGCACTGTTTTGATTAAAAGCCTGATTTGCAGATCTCAGAGCAATAGGAGTCTGAAACATGAAAAAAAAAAAAAATAGGGAACTGATAGCTGTTAATCTCTCTCTGTGGTGGTTTCACTGGGCTGGCACTGG